GGGCGCTAAAGGCGCGGGCATCAAGACACGGGCGTAACAATATTATATTCTGTGAATCGAGAAGTAAAGCATTTTGTTCAATAGCAGCTAAGAATACCAACGAAATGGGGTATCTGTAATTTAGTGTTATCTTCTGCTATACTATTACATAAATTTCTACATACCTTACTAGAAGATACCTACATACCTTATTAGAAGATACAAGTAAACAATTTGATGAGGAAATATCGCAGAGAACATTCAACGTGCAACAATTTATAGAACAACAAACTTATCTTTATCATTTTGTTTATTATAAGATCATTATAGGATCGAGCAGCTTTAAGCTTCCTTCTCATCACTCTCGTTCGTAGAAACAACAATTATCATAGTTACACGCTGAACACAAAACAACAGTAAAATACGAATACATAGTGAAACAGTGCGTTGTTTAATAAACAGTTAATATCACTCCATAAGTTGATCTCATGAATGGACTGCTACACTTTTATGCAACTGCTAATCTTAAACTTTGTCGTTATTTTTATCGACAAACTATGTGAATTTTATTTCAACTATTGTTGAACGATCTTTAGTCATTATAAAAAAGAAATTATAAATTGATGTGATGTATTTATAATTTATTATGATATAGTACGCTAACACAGATTCAATTACTATAATTAAGCTTTTAGCCTATAATATCGTGTGAGACTCGTAGTAAGAAATTCGGGCCAAATATAAGAAACATTGAGTCAGGTTCATGATATGTAGATCAGGCAAAACGTAAACAACACAAGTTAGGCTCGTGGTTCACATTTTTGCAGATGCCTTTCCATTGCATTTATATGCTAGTCTTGACCACATTTGTATGTGCAAATATATTTTCTTAGATATATTAGAAAATAAACACTTATATAATGTCTTCAAAAAAAAAATTTAATAGTTACTGCACATGAGAGAATAGCTATATTAGTCAAAGCGTGAGCGACTTTGTTATTAAGGGGGTAGCCTGGTGTAGCAACTTCAAAAAATCGATTTTTTTTTTTGCTTAATCGATAGTTTTTCACCTCTAGAAAATGTTCCCAAAGTCCCAAAAATAAATTCAAAATTTTGCGGGTCGAAACAAGCTCGCTAAGTATGCATGCGTAAGCGTTCCCAGAGGCCCCAGAGCCACAGTGCTCACGAGAGTTTTAAAATGCCTTTAGGAACTCTTGTAGTCTGTTGGTAATCTTATAAGCATTATATACATCAATGTCAAAATGTCAAAAAAGAAAAAAAACTTGGTGACAAGAGTAAGCTAACTGACACCTTGATAAAAAAGCTTACAAAATACTACGGCCTCGCAATAATGAGAAATCCAGAATCTGTGGAAAATATGCAAAGAGATATAATGGCCACATATTTGCATAGTATATCGACTGATAAGAAACCAAGACATGAAAATTGTCCTTCTGCTGAAGATTCTTGGTGTAAATTTCGACGCGCCGAAAGCCTAGGAGTTCCATACACTCACCCAGAGCCTTTACATCCAGTTGTAGCTGAGAGTATATTACCTACATACAAAGACTTATCGAGAAAAGATTTACTTGAAAGATGTTTAGGCGGCTTCACTCAAAATGCCAATGAAAGCTTTAACTCGCTCATTTGGCGACTAGCTCCTAAGCATCTACATTGTGGACGAAAGATTATCGAAATCGCGGCCTATTTAGCAGCAACTATGTTTAATGAAGGTTACTTGTCATTGCTAGGAATCATGTCAGAAGTTGGCATTAATTGGAACGACCTGCAGAAATTTTTCTGATAAAGTTAATCAAAGTAGAGTCACTTCTCAGAATCGTCGAAGTAAAAGCGCTAATAGGAAAATCGGTTTGCTGCACAAAGAACAACAACTACAACAAAATGAACTTTATGAGGAGATAGAAGGTCTTTTGTATGGTCCAGGGATAGTTGTTTGATAATAAAGTTGAGGTAAATAAAAAAAATAATAGTTTATCAACTTTTTTTCTTGCTTGAAAACTTTAAATGCGTTTATCTCTAAACTATATTTTTGAATGTTTTTGACGTGCAGTACAACTCAAACAATTTTTGAGATATCAATATGATTTTTTTTTTTTAATTAAAGATAATTGAATTGTCTTATAGTTATACCGACAATTAGAACTAAAACAATTGTTTATAAAAAGTTATAAACAATATTACGCGCAAAATTTAGGCCAAAAACGAAAATTTAGTTTTAACACATTGCGGACCAGACATTTTATTGCTAACCGTATCCAGTAACTGGGTATGTTTTCGCCTCTAACGACGCAATATGAAAGACGAGATATCTCGTCATCCGGCCCCTAACGACGAAATAGGAAAGACGAGATATCTCGTCATCCGTCCGCAATGTGTTAAGTTGAAAATTTTTCAATTTCTTTTTTTTTATGTTTCTTCAATATAACTAGAAACTACATTCATATAGTTCACAAAAAAATTTTTTTTTTTTATTCAGATGATTTTACAAGGTGCTAGACTGCACGCCGTTTGGGAAGAATTTTCAAAGGCGCCTTCGTATACGTGCTGTCACTTGGTCAATTATTGAGATAAATAAACGAAAAAATTAATTCATATTCTTCAATATATATACAATAAATTCTGTTAATTGCAAAAATATATATTCAGTAGTTTCGTCAATAAAAAATCTCAAAAAAGTGCTTGTTTTTTGCGTTCTACACCAGACTACCCCCTTAATTGTGGCACGCGCCATCACGACTTAAATCATAGTGCAAGGAGTCAATTCAATATCGATAATTTGTTTACATCATTTGTGTTATATCTTTGTGGCATTCAAATCACATTAACATTTGCGTATGTAAGTGTAATTATCTACTAAAACTAAATTGTTATTTGCTTATTAATTTACTGTCATAACTGGTTTGCGAAACAGATTTAACTCATGAAAAATCGCATATAAGGCTCTACAGCAGCCAGACCGTAATTTTGCGTTGATAGTAGCGATTAGTAGTTTGGAACGACAAAGAGTTAACTAATAGAATGCTAGCTTAGCAAGTGCTACAAATGCTTTAAAGCGTTTCTTCTTCATCTATCTTTCGAATAAAGGAAGATGGGGAAGAAGAAACGCTTCGAAGCATTTGTAGTGTTTGTTGGATCATATGCATGAAGCGTGGCGTATTGACAAGGAAATTTTTGTTGCGCACTCTTCCGTTATTATGTGCTTTATTGTACAGCTGTAATTTGTAACGTACATATTAAACTTATAAAAATTGATGAAAATCAAAAATAACTTCGAATTTGATACCTGGGAGGATATTTTACTGGCTCCTTTTAACAGTTGTGAAATCGTAAGTTTTTCTACATGAATAGATCTCATTTCACACATCTTTTACGGTTATATATTAACGATCACAAGGAGAAAAAAGAGTGTTTGTCTATTTTCACAAATGCCTTAAAGCGATCTTAACACTTTACCGACTGCTAGCCTATTAATCGGCTTTTTGTCGCCAACGCCTACCGACCGATAGCCTATTAATCGGCTTTTTGTCGCCAACGCTTACCGACCGATAGCCTATTAATCGGCTTTTTGTCATCATTTGTCAGAAATCATCAAATTTTGTTGAAAGTATGGAATAATGGCAAAAGAAACGTCAATATGATCTCAACTATACATTCTGCACAATTAACGGAATCCAGAAACAGAAGTAAAAGATCAAACGGTCCCATACAGAAGCCTAATTCAATCGTAAATTATAACAAATATATGAAGGGCGTAGATCGCGCGAACCAATATCTATCGTATTATTCCATTTTTAGAAAAATAAAAAAATGGACTAAACGAGTTGTAATGTTTTTTATCAACTGTGCACTTTTCAATACATTTAAAGCATACACAGTTCTTAACGGAAAAAATATTACGTACAAGAATTTCCTGCACAAAGTGGCAGTTTCGTGATAAAAGATTGTAAAACTAATTGTATAGAACAAGATGACGATCTACCTAATTCTGAACCCACAAGAAGAACACCCAGATTAGACCATCCCGGAAGACTGTCAAATTTCGGAAAACATAAACTTATAAATATAGTGACCAGCGGTCGAAGTGTAAAACCTCAAAGACAATGTAGAGTTTGTGCAGTTCAAAAAAAAAGAAGTAGAACATGTTATGTCTGTAAATTTTGCAATGTTCTACTACACAAAGGCGACTGTTTTGAACGATATCATACTTTAAAAAAATATTAAACTATTTCTTATTTGAAGTATGTCAATATATAGATTATGGTATATTATATAACTATTTAACTGAAAACCGTTGTAATAGATAAAATAAATATAATTTAGCATTAATATCATCAAAATAAAAGAACTTATTAAATCTAATTATCCTATAATAACAAAAAGCGGGCAATTTTATCTAAGCATAAAGCAAAAAGCACAGATACTCCCGCGCGACAGTCTAAACCGAAACAGAGCCGGCGCCAGGGAGGATTTGCGGCCGAGCGGCCGGTCGGACGTGCGTATGCTGTTGAACCGCTAGCGGTCGGTAGAGTGTTAAGTGTTGTTTCATCCAAATATTTATTTACTTGCAAATAGCACGCAATATTTCTCAACGTGTCATTTCTCGTCAATGACATCACGTATCCAATATGGCTAAATACGTTTACATAATGGTCATATTCTCACAGTATTGTTTTTGTTAAGGGCATGCATGAGAAAATAAGATGGCGTCGCACGAACGTGAGCCGGTCGCGTACGCTTTTATTCTCTCACGCGTACCCTTACAGTGGCATACTATATGTTGATACAACACTTTATACAAATATGTGTTGTTACGTCCTGGCTACTTCGGGAAGTACGGATTCTTTTTTTATGATTGGGAAGCAAACGGACGTCGGGCAAGCGTTATCGTGAAGGGGATAAGATTACGATGGCTCGCCGTTAAACGCGCCGTGGGATTCCCAACATATCTGTCATCTCTTCCGCCTTCACGTAAGGCGCATAATTTTGTTATATTCTGGGTACCGTGGGAACAACAAATTTCTTTTTTTTTATCAAGAGATAGACGGATTTGGGTAAGCGCTATCATAAAAATGTGATTATACGCCACCAAATGCGTCATGAGTTTCTCAACACGTCCGTGATCTTATCCGTTTCCTAATCTTCCATATCCGTTTCCAGTTTCCACGAAAACTCCTCTCATTGGCGCTCGTCATCCGCCACTCCCAAAAAATCTTCCTTATATAAGCCCCTCTCACCTTTTTACCAGACCACTTTTTTGTTGATTTCTGTTGCGTCTCTACATCACGCCTCTCACTTCGGCTTCTGTTTTCGGGATCACTCTCTCTCTCTCTCTCTCTCTCTCTCTCTCTCTCTCTCTCTCTGATGCCACCTGTTTGTAAAACTCTTGTATAACTCGGGATTTCTCTAAAGATATACATTTCGATATTCCAACACTTAGTCCGAGTATCAATTGCGCAATACCGTCATAAATGCAACTACCATCCAGACGACCCGAGCCACGAGACGACACCCAGGCCTCCGAGATCCAAAAATATTTACACATCAGGAATCAACGAGTAAGTATTCAGCACCATTTATACTCGTCCCCATTAACTTCAATTTCTTCATTTATTAATACATTAAGGGCGGGAGTCGTAGTACTACGATTTATCTCGAAGGCGGCTTAAAGGCGGGAGTCGTAGTAATACGATTTAGCTCGACTGTACCTTAAAGTTTTTATGATCACACAAAATATCGCCCGCTCTAGGCCGAAAAACGAGGCGGGCGGCCGNCGTCGAGATCGCCCGCCGTTAATGTGTTAATACCCCACCGTATTATAGTAAACATCCTACGTGGGGAAGACAGGCTCAAAGCCTTCGCATTAGCTCACAGAGACCTGCTCGAGGCTAGCAACGACACGCTAGCAGTTTAGCTTAGGGCCTTTTCCAAGCTCCTATCCCCAGACAGAAATACCCAAGCACCAAGCCCCTTCAGACGAGAATACCTCGTCCCTACCTGACCGTTCCACTTTCGCCCCTTTCTATTCGCCTAATCCCAATTATCTCCCAATTATCTCCATTCTGGCGAGACACTGTCGCGATTATTCTCCTCCACCGTCCTACTGGACTTCACCTCCAGCTTCCCCACCGTGTTATCTCAACCCACCGTCGCGTTCCCCGATACCTGACCCACAAACCCCAGACTCATCTCCATCCCCATCCGATTCTACTTCCCCTTCCGAACCACCTACCCCTAACTCCTTACCCTCCCTTTCAGATACTCCCGCTACACACTCAACTTGTCACCACACACCGTCACCACACACACACAATTAATTTTGTAATACCTCGCCATGCGTCATCTCAAACTGTAATTTCGCCTTTTGTCAAACATTGTAAAATTCGCCCTTTTGTTAATAAATGTTAAGGTTATTAGCTTAATTCTCCATTTTATTCTCTCACCATCGCGCACTCACCACCCTTTCCCCAATTATCCCGCTCGCGGTTCTATCCCAGGTAAAGGATTTCAGTACCCTAACCTAAAATAGGACCACTCTGCGTACGCTCGCGTCAGAGTAAAATGACCATTCTGGTCTCTGACCTGTACCGCCGGCATACAGGTACGTTCGGGAATCGCCTTTGCGAGTGCGGTCGTTGCGTTCTCTTCCAGGACGTAACAAGTCAGTCAGTCATTTTTCTTCTTCTTCTTCTTCTTCTGCTGAGTATCAACGAACCCATGTTCTGCGTACTATTCATCACGATCGATTCACCTAAATCGTAAGTCTCTATTTCATATTTAAACATGACTTTTAATCGTTTCAATCCAATCTCCAATCCTACTTCACTCCTTAAAACACTTATATACACTGCGTTATCTTCCTTGTATTATATAACGATGTTTTCTTGCCATACTGATACGTTAAACATTCTTGTCACGTTAAATCCGATTGCATTAAATTAAATTACACGGAATACTTTTTCCACTTAATCTTATTTTAATCTTCACCTCGTATTTGCATTA